AAAAAATTTAAATATTAACATTGTATTTTTATATTAGCATTGTATTTTTAGGCATACTACAAAATAGTTGTATTTTTATTTAATGCTCATTTTTTATTTTAAAACATAATATTTATTATTTTAAAAATAACCTAATTAAATAAAGCGGAATTATATTATTTTTATCTATTAATTACTTTTTATAATTTATATATTAATGTTATTATTTATATATTATTAATATATTTATTTATTTGATATATTTATATATTTACATTTTAAAAACTCTGTGATATTTCCAGGTTTCTATTTAAATATAATAATCTATCTACTGTATATATAAATATCTAAAAAAAAAAATCACATTTTAACTGTTGCATGAAAAAATACATATATCACCCAGTTGTATAAAATGGGCTAATCTTACTCACTTTGCTCGGTGGAGCTTCTGTTTTCTCCTCAGTTCTTCAACTTTTTTGGTCTTCTCTGCATTCTGCTCTTCCACCAGCTTCTTATGAGCCTGAACGCGCTTGTCGCGTTTTCGGACGAAGGCCACTAGTTGGCGCACCAGCTCGCTGTGCTCTTTCCTGGCCTTGTCCCTGGTTTTCTTGTTCTCTTTCTCCATGGCTCTCTTCTCCCAGCGGTTGGAGGCCTGTCGCGTGTCGTACTCCTCTTTCCATGCAAAGTTTTTGCGTGTACAGAAGCTCTGCCAGTAGCCATAGAATAAATGCACCACCTGAGAAACAAATAAAGATAATTATTTAGGGGAAACACAGACAAATGTAATAATACTATACAACTAGATTTTATGTATAGACTTCTTGGATGCTTCTTCCTTTTAACAAGATGAAGAGATTTTAGGGGACTTATACACTCATCCTCTGTTCATCTGCTTCTTGCAAGCCTCCACTGACGGCAAACACTCCAAAACATCCATTAGGTAAAGTGCAAGTACGAGCCACACCAGAATGGGAGATGGTTAAGATCATTTAAGATCCCTCAGGCCTAACTGGAGTGGGATGAACCTCAATGTTCAGACTCTGGAGATGCTGGATGCCTTGAACCAAATGTGAAGCTTTCCACTCTTTTAGCTAACAATCTGAAAAATGTTTTCAGAAATGAAAGAGTGCCATCCTGCTACCTGTAGTAGCTGAAAGAAGTATTTATAGATGGAATACTTTTATGTTCCATTTATCTAACAAGCTAATTATCCACAGTCTCATTTGGCTGTAAGGTCTAAAATGCACTAGAACTCTGATGCCATGTTTTAACACTCAAGTATTCCATCTTCATGGTATAAATACATATCTCTTTAACAAACACAATGCATACTCTCCTATCATCTCAAAATCTGTAACAAATTGATAATTACTGAGTTTTTGGTTCATCAACCAGCTCTTAGAGTCCATACATTTATTCTGTCTAAAGATTTGTTTAATTTTTTAGGGAATTAAATGATTCTGGTTCACTAAAAAGAACAGTTCAGAAGTCTGTAAGATTTTTTATATATGTTTTTTTAAAAGAAGTCTCTTAAGTCTAACCAAAGCTCAATCTATTTGATGAAAATGACAGTAAAAGAATAATATGAATTTTAAGCAGCCATTACTCCAGTCTTCAGAGTCACAGTTTTGTTTGGTTTTTCAATATTGACAACAGTTGTGCTTTATATTTTTGTGGAAAACTGTACTGTATGTTCCAGTGTCTACACACAGTGTCATAGTCACTCTGAGAGTCTCCAAATGAGGGAAACACGTCCTCCTCCTCCTCTTCCTCATCTTTACTGTGCTCCATCTCCTCCTTTACGATAGTCTCAAACACATTCCTGTATACAGTGTAAAAGCCCTACAGAGGAAAAAAAGAGAAAGAGTTTGCACTATTAAAACACAGAATACATGCATTTCCACAATAAACTGTCTGAATCTTTCCAAACATGAAAAGCATTTTCAACAAACTTCTACTGCCCTCCAGCGGTACAGGATGGTATAACAGACAGATATAGCTATGTAAGATAATACAAGACATAATAAATCAACATTAATAAATCAAAAATATACATAGAATATATAATATGAAATAAAATCTCTCATTTAGTTACAGATAAAATGTAATGGTAAAAGACATCTGTCTGACATATTTCACGCATTTAGAAGTGAACACCGATGAAAAACAAGAACATGTCTGATATGAGCGGACACGTGCATGTGTGGCTACTGGCTGACAAAAAAATGAATTTTAAATATTCACCTTTTCGTCATCTCCGTAACCTGAGTAGCAGGTGACAGTGAAGAACTGCAAGAGATCAATGCTGTCATCCTGGTACTCTCCGCTGACACCCCCTTTCAGCAGCGCCTCTCGGTGGTTATCATACCTTAAAACAAAAGTAACAGCCATATTAACATAAATAAATATTATAATAATTATTATTATAAAAATTTAATTAAATAAATATTAATGGGATTATATCAAAGGCTGTAATAGTAATTTTAGTCGAAAAAAGGCCAAATACTGAGTAGTATTATTGGTATTCTTAAAACATTACATAAATCCACCCCCAAAACAAAAATTGTAAGTGTTTTCTATGTGTGCCAGAAAACAAGTCATTTTTTATTTTTAAATGAGTAATAACAAATAACTACAGAAATAATTATTGTTCATTTGCAATAAAAGCTGGGATTTATATAGAAAAAAATGGCTATAAATTCCCTTTAACTGGAAAGCAATGACATACGCTGCAAAGTATACACTTTGAAATTTATATTAATATAATAATATTATTCATATTAGTATTATTGATCTGTTTACAATTTTCAACCCATTCCTGATGCATCCAATACTAATAAAAATCCACAGTTTTGACGAATCCTCATTTTTGTTACACAGCTAGAACATGTAGGTCAGTAGATTTAGCAACAACAACAACATTCAATACATCTCTGTCATTCCAAGCCCATATGCCGTTTTTCCACTGAACACAAAAGAAGAATTTTGAAGAAGCTCTTTTGTACAACAACAGTGGCCACTTCTGTCACGCTCCAAAAAAAAAAACACCACAAAGGTATCCATACCACCATATGGGAAATAGCTAAATTCACCTTCTTCTTTTAAATGGAAAAAATAACTGCAATATCAGTTTGGAATGACATGAGGATGAGAAAAAGGGTAAACTACTCATTTAACCAGCACCCCCATAAAGCCATGAGGTTGATTTTCATATAACTGAATTTCTGCAAACTTTTTTTTTTCATGGGAATTTTAGGTGTCCTTCCAAAAATGACACCTGATAATCAAGTAAGGAGTCCATATAATTAAAACCTATACTATGCATTGCACACCAAAATATACATGAAAAACATTCCAGAACTTAATATTCCAACTAAAAAAAATGTCACACAATATGTACATACAGTGCAACAGATATTTTGTTATTATTTATTTACTTATGTTTAGTTACTACAAACATGCCTTGCAATTTCTCAGTCCCAGAAAATATAATTGCGCTATAATAAACCGATTTGTATTCTGGATCGACTCTGGAGGGCAAGAAACAGAATTATTATTATTATTATTCATTTTTTAATGTTAAGTTTTGATACTATAAAGTTTCTTTGAATATGTGAATGAGATTTGAGAACACTTAATAACTTAAAATTTGGTCTGTTTCATAAAACTATGACTTCATAAAAATCTGAGTATAGCCCACATGTCTTCAATATAAAGATTGGCATGAAAAATCACTATCCACTTTTAGGCTATATCAATAACAATGGTTTACATGTTTTGCAAAAAATGTATCATGTTGTGGAAGAAAATATAGCTTTGCAACATCACAGCAGTGAACAAAATATTCATTTTCGGAAAGAAACCATAATTTTTAAGCATGTTCACACAGGGCAGGTAACATAAATAAAGCCTGAAGTAAAATCTCATTCATTTTGAACCAAGCTAGATATATTTCCAGGTATGGCGAACGCAGTTGTTGTTTATTGGAGATCTTACCAGGCTCTCTCCTGTGGATCACTCAGAACATCATACGCAGCCTGAATAAGTTTAAACTCCTCTGCAGCCTCCTCGGCGTTATCCAAGTTCTTGTCTAAAATCAAAATTTAAAAAAATATGAGCTGCATTATAACATAATTTGGTAACACTTTACTTGAAGGGGTGTGCATAAGACTGACATGGCACCTTCATAATCATGACATGACACATGTCATGAATATGAAGGAGGTTTTATGCATGTTTATGACAACTGTCATTAAGTGTAATTCGCTCAGTTATGTAATTTTTAATGCAAATATGACATTATTTGACCTAACCCTAACCTAACCCTTACCCCTAATCATAGCCCATAACAAAGACATCTCAAATAATGTCATATTTGCATTAAAAATTACATAACTGAGCGAATGACACTTAATGACAGTTGTCATAAACATGCATAAAACCTCCTTCATATTCATGACATGTGTCATGTCATGATTATGTAGGTGTCATGTCATGATTATGAAGGTGTCATGTCAGTCTTATGCACACCCCTTCAAGTAAAGTGTAACCCATAATTTCATGGTTAAAATGTTAGTCCTATAATCAACAGCAATTGACAGATCATCACTGAGGAATCGTTAAAAAACAGGCGACACCAACAGCCTTATTTATTAATATAGGACAATAACATCTATGAATTATCAGAGATCAGATTAAATCAAATACCTGGATGCCATTTCAAGGCTAATTTCCTATAAGCCTTTTTCAGGTCGTCGTCCGATGCGTCTCTTTTAACGCCCAACACCTCATAGTGACACTTCATCCTGGTCTGGGCTTGATGGAGATCCTACAAAAACTGAAAAGGCTGTGTTTTGAAAGCAACTGTCAATAACTAACGTTACAGTACACACGAAATGTCATCAATGTGCCCACGTGGATCACAAAACTAAAACTACAACAGCGCTAACCTAATATTACACTAAATATAATACATACAATACTATAATGAAGCAACTAATCGCGTTTATTCATCAACTTCTTGAACAGTTGACATTTTCAATCGATAGAAGAATCGGCGCGAAGCCGGTGTCGTGTGTGTAGCGGCGGCGCATGAAATTGATGTCACATACGAAACGCGCGCTGCTATTGGCTGAGAGTTGTAGCCTATGACTATGCACTTCTATATAAAATAGATACAAATATTATTTGTTTTTTATTTATTTATATGATATTTCCTTTGTGTGTGCATTAAAATATAGTAACGATTAAAATAACCTTTTTAGAATAAAATAATATTTCTGAACATATTCCATATATCTTTCCTAGTTCGCAGTAATCTGCTATGATTTTATTTAATAACCAATATGTTTGTAAGCATAAACATATGTGATATAACCTACATAACAGACATAAATTATTGATTAAATGACTGTAAAGGCTTATATAAACATTACACTAAATTGTCTCAGAAAGCCAACAGTGTAGGTTATTTTTGTTATTTCAAAATAAAGCATTAACTCAATACTGCTCTATTAATTTAAATTGAATGGGTGGGATTTATCAGTGGCCAACCTTTGAAACAATGTAAACCGCTATTTATTCCGAGCAGGAGTGGCTTATGTTTTTTTCTAAGCTACCTTAAGAGTTTGCATACAATTGACAAATGCTGGCTATTTTAATCTTTCAGGAGGACATATAGCTGCTGCCATAACGAGATCTGCTGTATGACTACATGTTATTATAGTCACGTTTTTTTCTGGATATCATAGCCTACCTTCTAAAGTAACATCATGAACTCTATGAGGGAAGTTGATCTGGATACATACAGTTTGTCTTTACTTACGGCAAAAGAAGACATCCTGAATCCACGCTCGTCAACAAACTGGTATGATGACAGTTTTTGTTTATTTGCTTATTTTGTTAAATCCATACGTAATTAATAGCAAATATAACTCGGATTCTTACAGTAAAAAAAAAAACGTAAAATGAATTAAAATTGTGAGCAGGATACGTGAAGCTGTTTTAAATTTAAAATATTGTTTTTTTTTAACCAAGAAATGTGTCTGACCATAGGACATAACTTTTAATGAAATAGCAAATGTTTTTACACAGCAATAATAAGTAATTAATAACAACAATAATAATAATAATAATACATGTGTAATGCATCAAAATATGATAGATCCTATACATAATATCCAATTTTGTAAAAGTGAAAAGTTGCTAGCAGAGGATGGTTTCGATCCATCGACCTCTGGGTTATGGGCCCAGCACGCTTCCGCTGCGCCACTCTGCTAGGCGGTGTATCACGGGCGCGTTTTGGGGTCTTGAAAAAAAGACAATTTTCCATTGCTCTTATTTAACTGTTTTAAGCTATTAATTACTCATAAACGCCGACAACCACATAAAACACTATACTCATCCTGAAATTCCTTGGAAAGAAAATAAATACTGTGAAGCTATTCCACTACACATATGGTTTTGCTTATATGTGTGTTTGTTAGGGAGATATTCAGTGTTCCTCAACGACCCCGTTTAAATTAATAGGACAAAAAAAATCACATTTAAAAGAATTAGGTCGAATTCCACAAAAATGTGATTTCGTTTTGAAGTTTCTTTTTTTTTTTTTGTCATTTCATCCAAATTTACTAACTTAGTCCAGTATAGACTTCAATGCTGCAGTGTCTTGATCTGATGATTTACATTTCAGAATGTCTGTCTTATCTTAATCACCAAACAACCCCTTCCCAGACCAATTTCCTCTGTAAATACCCCTGCTTATCTAAACTAGCATGTTTATCTGCAAAATCAGCCTGTATGACAAACTATCCTACAATCTGAGATGATAAACCTAAAGCAAGGAGGCGCGTGCGTGTGTGTGTGTGGGGGTCAAGCATCTGTTGAACATGGTACTTGAGACATGAGTGTGTCAGTGCAGGCAGGTGTGTTGAGGCAAGTTGGAGCTAAACTCTGCAGGACACCGGCCCTCCAGGACTGAGTTTGGACAGCCCTGGTTTTGACCATGCTGGGGGCTCAAATGCAGACATGCCTACAGGCAGAGCAGTTCCTGTTGTTCTGGCTACTGTTGTCACAGGAAACGTTTTAAAAGGGAGAATGTCGCCGCTGGAAGGACTTTTCAAAAGAAAGAATGTTGTTTGTTTATGAGCTAAAAAAAAAGTTTGTATGATTCTGAAATGTATTCAGTCAGTGTGTTCCTGATAAGAGAAACCTTTTGGATTTCTTTCCTGACTTTCAAACAGCATTTCATTTGATTTGATGTTAAACTCTAAGCTGTTTTTAAACCAAAGCCTCATTAAATTATTCAAACCATGTCCTAATTTCATCGTGTGTAGTTCAGATCTGTATTACATTATTTCGCTTTATCCACTTCAGGTAATCAGATATTTCAAATTTAATTTTAATAATGGATTCAAGCACATATTAAACAGAGATAGAAAGTGCCAGATGCCTTACAAAGGTGCTAGTCTGAAAAAGCAGGACTCTGCATCTTCGTTGCCTTCCTGTCTCTGTCATTTCCTCCGTTTTTTTTTTATTTTATATAATATAGTATGTAATAGTATGTGTATCTATAATAAAGCATAATGTTTTATGTTCTATACAGTACATTTAAGAGGTGAATAGGGTAAAAAATGTAACTAATAATTATCACTGTACTTTCCCCAGATTATTACAGTACAAGACAATCGTTTTCTGATATCCTGTGTTTAAATATTACATTCTAATTTGCATCAGTTTCCAGGACAGAAATCTGAACATTTGATTCTTGTTGCTATTTTAGAGTTAAAGGATTTAGATCTCTCTTTTGGTCACTCCATAAATCAGAAAATAGTCAACAGCCAGAAAAAATAAATTAAAACATTAGGAATAAAATGTTTTATATATCAGGTCAAACAATATATGAACAAACCACTCTGATAAAAACCTTCAAGATAAGGATATATATTGTAAGTGAAATCTACAGATGGCCAAAGTGTAATATTAAACTCTTAAATGTGTATTTTGGATATTTTATTTCACTAAAAAAGTCATGTTATAGAAGCCAAAAATCTCAAAACGGACCACTTTATGTAAAACACTGCTCCCTGTAGTGTCTTGCATTATTAAGTAACTTACAAAAAGTCACATGCATCACTACATAATAGTAACATAACATAATAGCACCCAAGCAGCTTAAATGTGTGTCTTACACAAGTTATATGTAACACGCTTGACAGTGTCTAGTATGCAGTCAAGAGCTTCAGCTCAAGACATTTGCGTAAGCTGCTTTTTTTTAATATAGCTCAAAGCCTAGAAGTTGAAAAATGTTTGGATTAACAGTCTATGCGATTATCCCTCTAGGCATTCAAGAATGACTGACATACTTAACATAGTGATTTCCAAGAACGACAGACATAACGGCTCCAGTGTCCAAATAACCAAATTCATAGATTTTTTGTTTGTAATGTTTCTAAATTAAGAGCTCAGGGTTGTACTTCACGTTACTGTATTTACTGTTGTATGTTCGGGCATTTTTGTCATGAGAATGTGGGAAAACTGCCCTTTTGTTTTTGGGTGTGAGCAGATTACAGAAGACCCTAGGGATCCAAGAAGGGTCCTTTATATGAGCGTCATTCACAGGAAATGGTGCCATTTGTGTCTAAAATTCGTTTTTATTTTCCCTGTTTAATTTACTATGCTGAACTTTCAATACATCCTATTGTCCCACCTTAGGCTGTCTATTGGATGTATAATATATGAATTCAAATAATGATAAAAGTATTTATCATCAATTGTTTTTGTGATATACTGACTTACATTTTGTATGCATTAAACACTAAAAGAAATCCAATCAATTAATCATACATACATACATACAAAGAACCAAAACTGAAACATCAGTACAAAAGCATTCAGATGCCTATAACTAAAATGTCAGAGAACTTGCCTAAATTGAGTTATCCATCTTAATGAAAAAAAGTGAAACTTTAATATTCCCTCTGACTGTTTTCTTCTATCTCTGTATACAGGGCTTTATTTACCTATGATGGAATAATGAACAGACTCAAACTGTCTGATTCTGGAGGTAAGAGCACAAAAAGCTTAATAAATAAGGTTTTATGTTTTGTGGGTTCGTTTATATGCTTGTTTTTTGAAGTAGGTGGATTGAAAGAGTTGACGGATAAACTTCACCCTAGACGGCCGCTTTATGGGATGTGCAGGGTGGGCAAAGCTCAACCCCGCATCGCTATGATATTATGGGTTAGTTCATCCTCCACACAGCTTAATGTAAAACAGTCTGATCTCTCTCCCTTTAACCAGTGTTTGTGGTCTCTCAGGTAGGAAATGAAGTGGATGAGTACCGCAGAGCTGAGTGTGCCAGTCATTTACCAGCAATCAGGGCCTTCTTTAAGGTAAAAGAGGACAGGGATTATGGGATGGCTTTAACTGTATTCTGATAACCTCAAAGCAACATAATTGTCATTCTTGTTTTGTGAATACATGAATACGTCTTTTAGATGTCTTGTTAGTTGGGCAGAGTTTTTTAAATAAAATAAAAATATAAAGACATAAAAACAAGGAAAAGCTTCTTTTGTCTGTTGCTATCATTTGTCTTTCTGATGCTTCAGGAAGTTCACATCTTTCTTCCTGCCCACACTTTGGATGAAATCACAGAGGAGAGGATCTGTACGCTGGCCTATAAAGCTGCAGTGGTGACGCAGGGGCCGAGAGGGAGACCTGGCCGCCGGACAGAAGTCAGACAGGCCATTGTGGTATGAGATCATGACCATTTCTTACTACAAGGCTTTATTAATACTAAATGATTAAGTTGTTTTGAGAAGTACAGTAAAGCCAGTCAGACAATTAAGCTCTATAAAAATCAGGAAAATGGTAAACAAATCAAACTGTCTCCTTACTATTTCCAGGGCACTAATTACAAGCGAACAATTGCAGCTGCAGAGATCCAGAGAGATTATTTTTGGGCACAAGCGGAGGTACGGAGTGAGTTTTTATGTTTCCTTTTTTGTTGTTGTCTATTATTCTTTTTTAGAGTTGATATTATCAAGTATGAATGTTACGGTATATATTTGTGACCCTGGAGCACAAAACCAGTCTTAAGTCGCTGGGGTATATTTGTAGCAATAGCCAACAATACATTGTATGGGTCAAAATTATTGATTTTTCTTTTATGCCAAAAATCATTAGGATATCAAGTAAAGATCATGTTCCATGAAGATATTTTGAAAATTTCCCACCATAAATATATCAAAACTTAATTTTTGATTAGTAATATGCATTGCTAAGAACTTCATTTGGACAAATTTAAAGGCAATTTTCTTTTTTTTAAGATTTTGTTGTACCCTCAAGTTTCCAGATTTTCAAATAGTTGTATCTCGACCAATATTGTCCTAACCTACCAAACCACACATCAATGGGAAGCTTATTTATTCAGCTTTCAGATGATGTAAAAGGATAAAAAAAAATTAAGAATGAAAAAAAATGGATCTTTATAATTGGTTTTGTAGTCAAATGTAACAAAGAATAAATCACATGCTGCTGTCATTTACCACTACACCTCAAAAAATAAAATAAAATAAAATAAAATTTGTTATGTTTCTCGATTATTTTAACATTTTATTATTATTATTAATAATTATTATTATTAACACATGGCATGACATAAAATTTATTATGATCTTACTATAGAATAGTTACGATAGAATTTGAACTAAGTAACAGCAACATTAACTTTATTTTTCTCTAAAAAAAATTTAAAATGTCCATTTTTAAAAATGTCAAAATTTAAAAACAATACAAAAACAGACAGAGGTTAGTTTCTTACTGTATTTTCCAGAGAGAAGAGGAGGAAAGGAAAAAGGAGGAACAGCGGAGGGCAGCAGAGGACAGGAGGCAGAGAGAGAAGGAACAATTGCTTCAGGAAAGGAGAGATGCAATAGAGAGAGAGAGGAGGATGAATGAAAAAGAACATAAAATAAAGGAGCAGAGGTCAGTCAAACATTCTCATGCATGCATGCATGCAAAAAGTTCCCAAAGGTCAAAGGTGAGCTTTTTTTTTTTTAATAGGAGAAGACAGGCGCAAATGGAGGCAGAGGCCCAGAAACGGGAGAACATAAAATGGGTATGATTAAATTGTGTGTAAATTGTGTAAAATGTGTGCTTGCACGTATATATTCATAATTTATATTATATCCCAGGAGCACGAGGAAAGGGAGCGTGAAGAAGAGGAAATTAGAGCTAGATATTCACGCTCTCAATCAGAGGAAAAAGCTGCGGTTAGTTCTGTCAATTAAACCTGCACTAAACCCACTCTTGTAAATATGTGCCCTGTGATCTTCATGCTGTGATATAATACTGTTTATGGCCATCAGGAGGCAGCAGCTCTGGTGTCGCAACGTGCTGTAAACCCCAGAGAGTTTTTCAGACAACTGTCCTTCTCAAATGTCCACACAGCCTCCAGTCCCAGCTCCACATCTCCAGGTAAAGTGTAACACACTGAGAACCAGCATGTGTTTCCATCGACTGAAACGGCCACATAATCTTCCCACAAACAAATATTTTATGCGTTACATTTGAGAACTTATATTAAAATCCAACGTAATTTATTTTTGCATTTTTATGGCATCCGTAAAGGCCATACATTTTCAATTTGTTAGCATTTACCACAGTTGCTGTATTAGCTATTATAAAATGACAATGAACAATAGGCTACATTAACAGCATTATCTAGGTTAATGTTTCAGAAGGATCTTGTGACACTGAAGCCTGGATTGATGATGCTACAAAAAAATTCAGCTTTGCATCACAGGAATAAATTACATTTTAAAATATATTAAAATAGAAAACAGTTTAAATTGTAATAACATTTCAGAATATTACTGTTTTACTGTACTTTTTTGATCAAATAAATAGAGCCTTGGTGAATTTTTTTAAATAGTAAAATAAATAAATATAAAAAAATCATACTTAAGACTACAGACTTTTGAACAGTAGTGTAGATTAACATGAAATCTAATGAACATTAACGTAGAATAATGCTGTAAAAAAATATGTTACTTCATAATTAATGCATTAAGTAATGTTAGCAACTAAAACGTATTGGGATCTGTTGTCAGTTATGTAGATATATAGTGAATAGAATTCACAGTAATCAGTTCATACATTCGATTTTTTAATAAAATGTTTTCATATCAGATGGCGTGAGCAGATGTTCAACATCAAAAAAATAAACAGCGTGTACAACAAATCTGTCTACACATCAAGTGACGCAAGTAATGTGATGCAAATTACTGCCACTTGACGTGTAGACAAATTTGTTGATTATAATGACAGTAGACTAGTTTTGTTTTGTAACCGCACTTTTCATATTTTAGTAGCCTACAGTTTGTTTCAAAATCTCTTTCTCTTTTTTTGTAGTCAGGAGTCCCTATAGACGACTGCATCGCAGTCAGACGGACAATATCTTCAGTTTCAATGAATCACCTTCTTCTACACCTACATCTCCATACAGATCATCAATGGTATCACCTTACTTTCCATCGACTCCCACATCCCGGAGCCCAATCCTTTTCACTAGCACTATAGCTTCCTCGCTTCAGAATGGTGCAGTGGTATCTACCAAAAGCCAGATCCAGCTATCTTCACCTAAGACGATGGAGCCACGGCTCCAAACTCAACCATCACCTACAACTGATGCAACTGCATCTGAAATCAAAACTCCTATTAGTGATATACTAGACAGTCTGGTCTTTTATCCACCTCCACCAACCCCTGAGCAGCTCCAACCAGATGAATCAGAGATAGTGGACGAGTTTCCTCCACCTCCCTCTGGTTTTGAGAATTCACCTGAACCATCTGTGGACCAGCCTGAGACACTTGACGACCCCTTAGACCCTATTCTTCCTCCATCATGTGTTTTGGTACCTGAGCCACCCACCAGGCCACTTCCTGCTCTGCCCGTTGCTCCACGAATGCTGAAAGACCTGGAAGCGGAGAGGGATTTTACTGCTCGGGCATTGGTTATATCTACGGTTGAGGAGGAGGAGGATGAAGGGAATGGAGAAAAAGAGATGAAATATGAGGGGAAAGATGCAGTAGGGAAGGGAGGTGGAGATCAGAGAGTTGAAACTGGAGAGAAGAAGAACAGAGGACAGGAGGAACATGATGGCATGACTATGGAAAAACACAAAAGTGAAAAAGAATCAAATGGTAAAATGATGGAGAGATATGAGAGTGGAAAAGATGGGAAAATGTTGGAAGAATGTGAGAGCGAAGAAAAACAAGATGGAAACATTATGGAAGAACATGAGAGTGAAGAAGATAAAGTTGGGAAAATTGTGGAAGAATTTGAGAATGGGAAAATTATGGAGGAACAAGAGAGTGAAAAAATAAGGTTAGAATGTCTGCCAGAAAAAGAGCAGGATAGGGAAATTACAGAAAAACATGAGGAAGATCGAAAATATCTGGAAGAACAGGAAAATGAAAAAAACATAGAAGAATATAAGCAAGATGGGAATGTTGTGGAAGCATTTGACAGTAAAAAGGAACAAGACAAGAAAAACATGGAAGTATTTGTGACTGAAAAAACACAATGTGGGAAAATGATGGATGAACGTGGGCAAGAAAATGAGCAAGATGGGAAAATCGTAGAAAAATGTGAGGAAGAACATGACAATGAAAAGGAAAAACTGGGGAAATGTATGGAAGAACTTAAGGTTGAAAAAATACAAAATGCAAAAATGATGTTACAGTATATAAGAGAAGACGAGCAAGATGCGAAAATTGCGGATGCATTAGACAATGAAAAAGAACAAGACAAGAAAAGCCCGGAAGTATCTGAAACTGAAAAAACACAATATGCAAAAATGATGGAAGAATGTGAGCAAGAACATGAGCAAGATGGGAAAATTGTACAAAAAGATGAGGGAGAACATGAGAGTGAAAAGGAACAAGCTGGGGAAATGATGAAAGAACAGGAGGTTGACAAAATACAAGATGGGAACATCATGGAAGAACATGAAAGTGAAAGGCAAGAAAATGAGGAAGGTGGGAAAACTGCAGAAAAATGTGAAGAAGAATATAAGAGTGCAAAAGAAATTGATGGAAAAATGATGGAAGAACATGGAAGCAAAGAAAAACGAGATGGGAAAATTATGGATGCATTTGACAGTGATAAAGAACAAGATGGGACATACATGGAAGTATTTGAGACTGAAAAATTACAATATGCGACAAGGATGGAAGAATGTGGGCAGGAAAATGAGCAAGATGGGAAAACTGATGAAAAACATAGTAAAAATCTGGAAGAACATGAAAGTGAAAAAGAAGAAGGTTGGAAAGTTGTGGAAGTATTTGTGACTGAAAAAACACAATGTGGGAAAATTATGGATGAACGTGGGCAAGAAAATGAGCAAGGTGGGAAAATCGTAGAAAAATGTGAGGAAGAACATGAAAGTGAAAGGCAAGAAAATGAGGAAGGTGGGAAAACTGCAGAAAAATGTGAAGAAGAATGTAAGAGTGCAAAAGAAATTGATGGAAAAATGATGGAAGAACATGGAAGCAAAGAAAAACTAGATGGGAAATTTATGGATGCATTTGACAGTGATAAAGAACAAGATGGGACAAACATGGAAGTATTTGAGACTGAAAAATTACAATATGCGACAAGGATGGAAGAATGTGGGCAAGAAAATGAGCAAGATGGGAAAACTGTAGAAAAACAGTAAAAATCTGGAAGAACATGAAAGTGCAAAAGAAGAAGGTTGGAAAGTTGTGGAAGTATTTGAGACTGAAAAAATACAATATGTGAAAATGATGGAAGAATGTGGGCAAGAAAATGAGCAAGATGGGAAAACTGTAGAAAATCATGAACACGGGAAAAGTTTGGCAGAACATGAAAACGAAAATCAACAGAACTGCAAAATGATAGAAGACTGTGGGATTGAAAAAATACAATATGGGAACATCATGGAGGAACATGAAAGTGAAAACAAACAAGATGGGATGATTGAAAACCAACAGGACATACAGAACCAAGATAAGGAACGAATGTCACATGTGGATGTAGATAAAGCAGTGAACGTGACTGTGCTCAGGAAGGAGGAATCATACACAGAGATTATAAAGAGGGATGGGACAACAGAAGTAGGTTTCGAAAATGAGAAGAAACCTTTAATCCAAACAGAGGAGGCTGACACAGTTTTTTCCCAGCATGCACCACTCTTCCCAGAATCGCATGCTACAGAGCCATCTCCAGTCAATGACGCATGTATTCCTGAAAGTATTTCAACCACTCGAGATAAAAACGAGTCACAGATGTGTTCAACTCGTACCTCATCCCTCTTATGTATGCAGAGCTAGAAAAAAAATTATTTTAAAGGAACAGTTCACCCAAAAATGAAAATTGCTGAAAATTTTACATCTAAGATGTAGATGAGTTTGTTTCTTCATCAGAATAGATTTGGAGAAATTTAGCATCGCATCACTTGCTCAGCAATGGATCATTTTCAGTGAATGGGTGCCGTCAGAATGAGAGTCCAAACAGCTGATAAAAACATCACAATAATCCACCAGTAATGAAGAAGACCCCAGTCCATCAACTAACATCTTGTGAAGTGAAAAACTGCATGTTTGTAAAAAAAAAAATAAAAAAATCCATCAAGGTGTTTTAACTTGAAACTGTTGCTTCTGGCCAAAATATGAGTTTATAATCCATAATAAAGCTTCCTACAATGACAAAGTCCGTCACCTTTTGTCCTCTCACATCAAAATCCACTGATACATACTGTAGCACTGTTTTGGACTGTTTTTGCTTGTAAAATGTGCTTGGTCTGTGCATGTTTCTCTCCTGATTCAGACGAGACACCCTTTTCACTGAAGAAAGAAAAATTATGGATAGAGGACTTGTATTTATTACAAAAACGCAGATATTCACTTTACAAGATTAATAATTGATGGACTGGAGTCATGTGGATACAGTGTACATGTTGCTACAGTGCAAATCAGGGTTATTATTGTTAACTATAACTTGAAATAAAATAAACATTAACTGAAATAAAAAATAAAAAAAATAAAAACTATTTCAGCTTGTTGCTAAGGCAACATTTCTCATTTTAACTTTGGTTAATTTTATGTAATAAAACAACAGAAAAACTAAAACGGGATAC